GGTTGCTCCTGCCTGTAAGCCCAACACTTTGAGAGGATGAGGTAGGAAGATCCCTTGAGGCCAGGAGTTCATGATCTGCCTAGAAAAGAGCCAGGCGTGGTGGTGTGCACCTGTAGTCCCAACTACTTGGGAGGCTGAGGAGGGTGGATCACGCCACTGCACTCCAGTCTGGGTAACAGAGTGAGACCTGTCTCTAAAAATAAATAAAAACAAACAACAAAGAAGAATGTGCAACAGAGAACCTATGTGGCCTGAAAACCTAAAGTACTTATTATCTGGTCCTTTACAGAAAAAAAAAAAAAAATTGCCTACTCCTGAGTTAGGGCATTTGTTATCTATTCCTAAGAAACAAATCACCACAGCTGGGCGCGGTGGCTCATGCCTGTAATCCCAGCACTTTGGGAGGCTGAGGCGGGCAGATCACCTGAGGTTGGGAGTTCGAGACCAGCCTGACCAACATGGCGAAACACCGACTCTACTAAAAATACAAAATAATTAGCCAGGTGTGGTGATGGGCACCTGTAATCCCAGCTACTCGGGAGGCTGAGACGGGAGAATTCCTTGAACCTGGAAGGCGGAGGTTGCAGTAAGCCTAGATTGCACTACTGTACTCCAGCCTGGACAATAAAGCAAGACTCTGTCGAAAGGAAGGAAGGAAGGAAGGAAGGAAAGAACGAAGGAAGGAAGGAAAGAAGGGCCGGTCGTGGTGACTCACACCTGTAATCCCAGCACTTTGGGAGGCCGAGGCGGGAGGATTACAAGGTCAGGAGATCGAGACCATCCTGTGAATGGTGAAAGCCTGTCTCTACTAAAAATACAAAAAATTAGCCAGGCGTGGTGGGCCTGTAGTCCCAGCTACTCGAGAGGCTGAGGCGGGAGAATGGTGTGAACCCTGGAGGCAGAGCTTGCAGTGAGCCGAGATAGTGCCACTACACTCCAGCCTGGGCAACAGAGCGAGACTCCGTCTCAAAAAAAAAAAAAAAAAAAAAAAGGAAGGAAGGAAAAATGGGAAGCTCCGCCGCAAGCCTTTATCGTGCACTTCTCCCCCAGAACCAGAACCTGCACATCCTGCATCCCCTATTCTTCAACATGGAAAACACTTGAGTAGCCACGGACAAAAATATGTAACGTTTCTTACTGTGTGTACACAGGGACTTCCTCCTTCTGGATCAAACACTTCTTAATGTGTAACTTTTTGGAGGAGGGGCCCAACACGCTCTGCTTTTGCAGTCAGAAAAGGAAAAAAAGGGCAGAATATCATGCTTAGAGGGGAGGGAATGCTATCGGCAAATTTAAAATTCCAAAATGTAGGCCAGGTGTGGTGGCTTACGCCTGTAATCCCAGCACTTCAGGCGTGGTGGCGGGCGCCTGTAGTCCCAGCTACTCGGGAGGCTGAGGCAGGAGAATGGCGTGAACCTGGGAGGTGGAGCTTGCACTGAGCCGAGATCGCACCACTGCACTGCACTCCAGCCTGGGCAACAGAGTGAGACTCCATCTCAAAAAAAAAAAAAAAAAAAAAAAAATCCAAAATGTAAAGTAGAAGGAGGACATTGTCTGGCCATCCCACATCCCAGAATTACAGGTCTGGTGTCTGCACCAACTGGCTTTTTTTTTTTTTTTTTTTTTTTTAAATGGAGTGTCACTCTGTCGCCCAGGCTGGAGTGC